ATTTTATTATGATAATTTGATCATCGAAGTACTGCGTTCAGGACATTTAGAGTCGATCTAACCATGTCTGTCTGCCCGAATGGAGTATTTTGATTCCTTAAATTTAAAAAAAAAAAAAAAAAACTTATTTGAAGTTGATCCCACAAGAGGGAAGTAATATATGGGAGGCATATCCAATTCTGAATCGAAATTTTGACAGACACATTTTTGTCTTTTATACCAAATAGCATTGCTATAGAGTGCATGATATCACTTCGAGAAGGATTATATTGAAACAAGTAAAAAAATATTAATTTCGGCCAGGCCGAACTTTTAATGCCCTCCACCTTTGGGTAAAGAAAACATTTTTATATAAAAGCATCTGAATTCAAATCTGTTCCAATTTAAACTACAAATACCAATAAGACAGTTTGGATAATGCTGGTAAACTTTTCAAAAAACCATAAAGTGGGTGAGGCCGTTGTATGGGGCCATACCAAAAAGGGGAAGCTCTATGGACGGTTTTATATTTCACGGATTGTCATCTATCTATCAATCTATCAATCTTCATAAGTACCAAATTTGAAACATGTTCTTGGGTAAATGTGACTAGGATTATTAAAATACAGAATATCGGTAGATATAGTTATATGTGCGCTATAGGAAAACCTAGACCTAAATATTCATCGAAGCTGGAACCCATTATGACCTACAAATACCATTTTTTAGACAAATTCGTCGAAAAATGTGGCAAAAATCATCAAAATACTGAAAATAATCATCAAAATACGGAATATCGTGAGATACCGTTATATGGGGCTATACAAAAAACGTGGATCTATGCATACAATGTTCGCGACCGAAGCTATACAAATCCGTGAAAAATGTGGGGGTCTAAGGCGAATATTTGGGATGTTACAAACGGAATGACAAAGTTAATTATCCTCGTTTTCAAGGTGAAGGGTATAAAAATATATATGTCGGAGCCGAGTTCCAACAAATGGAGACTTACCTCCCGAAACTCCTTACATTTGCGCTGATATTTGCCATTATTTGCACAATAAACCTGAAATCGGATTAAGCATATGTATGGAAGCTGTATTCAAATCTGGGCCGATCTCGTTAAACTTTGGTAAAGGTATTTCCGAGCCCTATACGATATATGATACCAAATATCATTATTGTGCATTGTGTGAAGACCAAATCGGATGAAACATATGTATGGGAGCTACAGCTATATCTGAACCGATTTTCTCCGAATTCGATGTACTTGCTTCTAGACTGTATTCGGTCGAATGTACCAAAATTGAGGACTTTTGGACTGATATTAGCCATTTGGTGCACTATTAACCCGAAATCGGTTGAAGATATATATGGGAGCTATATCCAAATCGGAACCGATTTTGATAAAATTTGGCGGAGTTTTTTCAGAGCTGTATCTGATATCTGGTACAAAATTCTTCTGGTAGCAATCATTCTTGTGGAATGCATATTACGCATGAGAGGGACTTAAAACCCCAAGTCTAGAAGCAAGTACATAAAATTAGGCGAAAATTGTTTCAGATATAACTCTTGTATATATATATATATATATATATATATATATATATATATATGTATATATATATATATATATATATATATATATATATATATATATATATATATATATATATATATATATATATATATATATATATATATATATATATATATATATATATATGTATAAATGCTACCTGCAAAAATACATAGACGGACGGACAGACTGATTGACATGAATAAATCGACTCAGAAAGTGAAAATCCTCAAAAGTAACTATGTGTCTATCACGCTTCCTTCTCCATGTTACAAAAAATGCACAAAGACAAAATACCCTTACCACTTGCAAGATTTAAAAATAAAAATCTTATACTGAGCAAAAGAGTACCAGAAAAAGTTTTAACCTTTCAGATGTAGTTGTGAAAATGGACAATATTGACCCACACTTTTTGTAACTCTTCCACAAAAGGTCAACATTTTAAATAGTAATAATTGTGTCCAAGTGGCTACTTAAATTTCCAATATTTTTGTTCACACAAGTCCACTCTTTCAGGAAATTCCTCTACAACAGTTTAAAAATCATACATACATACGTATCCATATATAAAAGAGTAGTGAAATAACTAACTGACTGAGAATCAACGGCAAAACGAAATGGCTAAAACTAAACTTGGTGCTTAGGCTTGCATGGGTTTTTGGAAACTCGTACTAAATGAGTACGAAAAGTACTAAAATGTGCAAAAAATGTAATACTTTGTACAAATGTAATACTACATACTAAAAGGGTACGGAAAGTACTAAAATGTGCAAAAAATGTAATACTTTGTATTGGACAAAGGAAATAAGCTATAATTCTGAAATCGGAAATGGGAGTCACTGATTGAGTGCAGGATAGAATTTTTAGTTATAAAAAGTTCTAAAATGGTAATAAACTTCCAAAATGGCAACATGTGGTATTATTTAAACGAATAGAAAATAAGTTTGATATATGAAGGCGACTTTGGAATTGTGTGCGAACTGTACCAAATGGTACTAAATTTGGAACATTTTGGTTTAGGGTGAACAGATGAAGGCCTAAATGTTGTACAGATGAAGCTGACATTTTGAACTTTGTGATTGGGGTCCCAGTTGGTGGTAGGTCTATGATAAAGAGGTGGTTTTGGAGATGTGTACTACAAGTGCATGAAAAGTACTAAATAGTACTATTTTTGGTATTGGGTAAACATATAGTGCTTGAAATCTGTGCATGTGTATGTTTAGCCTGGAAATTTAGAGATGGTTTCGGAAGCGTGTACTATAATTGTACGAAATGAACTGAGTGGTACTATATTTGGTATTTAATGAAGCGATAGAGATAAAATTCTGAAACTTACTATTTAGATTACTGATTGTATCCGTGTTTGAGATTTGGCAGTGGTTTGGAAATGCGTTCTATATTTTTTATGAGAGGTACTAATTGGTACTAAATTTGATATTGGGTGAAGGGATGGAACGGATGGGTATAGTACCCATGTACACTGTACGAGAAATACTAAGTGGTACTAAATTGGGTATTGGGTGAAGGGATGGAGCTGAAATACCGATTTTTGATATCAAGATCTATGTTGGCATCTGGTATTTAGATATAGTGGTTTTAATTGTACGAAAAGTACTAAATATAACTAAATTTGGCATTGAGTGAAGGAATGAAATTTGACATAGGTTTCCCTGTTGGTCTCTGTGATAAGATATTGTGGATTTAAAAGTGTGTATTAAATTGTACGAAAAGTACCAAATAATACTAAATTTGATCTTGGTTGAAGGGATAGAGGTAAAATTCTGTAACTTGATATTGAGGTCTCTGTTGGAATCTGGAATTGAGATCTGTTGGTGGTTTTGCAAATGCGTTCTATAATTGTTCAAAAACAATTAAATTGAACTAAATTTGGTATTGCGGGGAAGGAACTAAAATTTTATATTACGATAATTGTTAATGTCTAGAATTGAATTATGGAACGATTCTGCAAACGACTACGAAAAGTACTAAATTTGGTATTGAGCAAATGTATAGAGCTGGAATCCCTAAATTTGATATTGAGGTCTCTGTTTGAATCTTGTGGTGATATTGCAATGCAAACTGTAATTTTTCCAAGAGTACTAATTGGTACTAATTTTGGATCGTTGTTGATGTCTAGGATGGGAGATGTACACTGTTTAGCATATGTGTACTCAATGTTACTAAATTATATAGGCAAGAGCTGAAATTCTGATATTTTATTTTGAGATCACTGTTGGTTTCTATGGCTTACATATAAAGACATTGAAATAGTCTTGGACAAAAACAAAATCGGATGTGGGTCCATTGTGCAATGGATTCACAAATACTTGAACAATATATAAAAAAACCTTGAAAGTCTGAACAATTAGTACGATATATGAAGTTTTAATTAAAAAAAATTGTTAAACTGAATAAATTGTACATTTTGAGTACTAACAAGTAAAAAACGCCTTGTTCGGCCGGACTGAACGTTTAATACCTTCCAACATTTTGATGGATCTCGAAAAAATTAAAAAAAATTCCGTCAAACAATAAGGAAAACTTTTATATGGGTGCTATACGAAGACGTGGTTCAAATACGAAAAAATTCCGTGAAAAATTTCGCTAAAATCATCATAAATATACCGACCTATACAGGCCCTTCTCTTCCAGGGGTAGAGTACCGAAAATACCAAATATCGGGGGTACCCTTATATGGGGGCTGTACGATATCGGAAAAAGACTGATATGTGCAAAAATTTAGCTTCCTATTTAAAGTCGCTAGCTTGATTACAGCAGACGGACAGACTAAGACAGGATAAAAAGGACTAGGAATACAAAATAATTTCAAAATTGGAAAGAAGTTATTAAATGCGACTGCAGGGTTTTTCTAATGTATTTTCGAAACCAAAAGTTTCAAATAGCTCTCAAAACTTCGTATATGTCTTTTTTGAAATTTCTATCGAAATGACGAATCCCTTTTTGTATAATTTATTTTTATTGTATAATTTATTTTTAAGCAGTCATCCAAATTTTTAAAACCTGAATTTGAAAGTTAAAACCTGGCCTACATCGTTTCAGGCATTTGACCTAAAATACGCATGTATCACAAAATCAGCAATATCAGATATTTTATTTGATATTTCATTTGAAAACTTCGTGAATTATGTTTTTTTTTTCATATTTCAACACCCAAAAGGTATTGCCGCATAATAGTTAACACCTTTAGCAACATTAAAAACCAATTAATTGGCAAAAACCACTGATGAATTCAATTCCCCCAAGACATTTTTGGGTCTGGCCAAAGACATGCAAACGTGATTTTTCCAGGGAAAACCAGCCGACAGACAACGTTCATAAATCTTTTTGCATTTTTTATTTTCTGATATTCTGAGAAATTTAATTTCCTTTTGTTTAAAAGTCGATAACATTTTATTTTTATATTTCGTTGTTGTGTTTGCAGGAAAACACTGACACACATACAGCGGTTACCTACATTGGCGTCGATGAAGTTGCGGCACATGTGTCCGGCGCTGACATACCCAGCGGACGGTTGGGGGGTTCGCATCAGCATGACGCACGAAAATGGCGTGAATTTTTCGTTCACTACGAACCGTTCTATCAGCAGTGCACGGGTGCAGCCCAACGTCTGGTGGCAGCCTTAAATGATATTCGCCTGGCCGACCTGCAAGGTCTGCCAACCAGGCGTCAGTTGTATGCCCAACATCGGGCGCTGAGTCGTGCCCTGATGGATTCTGAATTGCATAATTTGCGCAAGCGTAGTGCGACGACAATGGCACGTCTACAGGAATTGGCCAAAAGTATCAATAATAATTGCAATAACAACAACAATTACAACAACGCTGCCAATAAACTCAACAGTTATTGCAGCCTGAAGAATAAGGGAAACCTGGTTGGCACCTATTATGGAACGGCCAGCAGCGGTGGTACCCTGAATCGCAATAAACTCATGTTTAGTACAAGCAGTAGTTATAGCTTTAATTATCAAGGCAACCAAAATAATAACAAAAACAACAACAACAACAATTCGATTAGTCACAATGTTGCAGGAATAGCAAGTGCCGCAACAACAGCCATTACCAAATCATTACAGCCAATATCATCTTCATCATCGTCATCCTCCACAGCAAATCCCAAGTCCTGCATTTATACAGCAGCAGCATCGTCCATTAACCCATCAGCTAGTCGTTTAAGCGCCACAACTGCCAACACCAACACCACCATAAGCGGACTCAATTATTGCGTTGGCGGTGCCACCACCACCGCCAGTGGTCCATCTCAACTCAATAGCGATGTTGCAATCCGTCTACAGAAGGTAACACTGCTGTTCAATGAAATTGATCGTGCCGCCAAACGATTGGAACAGCTCACGGAACAACGTCGCGAACATTTGCGCGAACTGACACGGCAACGTGCTCTTGAAGATGAAATTAATGAGGTAAGTCTCCCATTAAGTTGTAACAGCAGTAGTTGGTTGTTTGACAAAGCCAAAATATTGGTAGTGACGAAGATATTTGTCCAGATGCCCACTGTGCCCGGCTGTAATTGAAAACTGCAATTTGGACCCATAACAAATTCCTTTACTTAAATTGGCAATGATGATTGATCCTAAATTCATTTTTACTTTTGTATTGGAATTTGTGAAAATCTATCATTGTAGAGGTTGATAATATTTTTTCATTGCACTGTTATTATATTCTGCAACACAAGCAGTTTGTAAAACCCGATCTACCTATTTTGCTGAGCTTAGTCAATCTAGCAATGTGTGTCCGTCTGTCCATGTTGTTTTTTATTAGGGTACGAGTCGTAGTTATGTTCCAATCCGTACAAAAATTTTTCTGTGGAGTAAAAGTTAGGGTCAGAATAGAAGCCTATTGTTTAGGAAGATGATCGCAAAATATTAAAGGATGAAATGGATTAAGATGTGATTTTTCCCTGATTTTGCAGTCGCTCTATCTAGATCACAATTATAGACTGATCGAAACGTAATTCTTTCTATGGGGTTAGAGTTTAGGACCGAGCGCAGAATATTACCATTTTGGATGGTCATCGAATAATATTTAGCGGGTGAAATTGACCATAACTTTTTTATATGGAAAGTAACTTTTCGATGAAATCTTAACTATATAAAACTTACACATCTGGTATTTAACTTGATGCTGATTTCGTTCACTTAAATAGTCTGAAATCGGAGATGTAGCAAAATATACGCATGAGGCTAACGGCCTGTTTAAGAAAAAATAAATGCGAAAGCATTGTTTGTTGGCTCTGGTCATATTCGAACGGAGACATGTACTAATAAGAACAATGACAATTGACGTAGAGTATCAAAATTTAGGAGAATAATTTGTATAGTGTCTAGGATGGTTGGTTTTGAAAATGAGATATATCTGTCCACGTTTTGGTATAATCTCCATATAACGGTACCACCCGATATTCGGTATTTTGATGTTTTTCGCCACATTTTTTTTCTATGGATTTGTCTAAAAATTGGTATATGTAGGTCATAACGGGTTCTAGTTTCACAGACGGAACATTGCATGTATAGGTCCACGCTTTGGTATTTCACCCATATAAGGGTATCTCACGATATTCGGTATGTTAATGATTTTTGCCACATTTTTTCATGGATTTGTCTAAAAATTGATATTTGTTGATCGTAATGGGTACTAGCTCCGTTGGCGAAACATTGTATGTATAGGTCTTCGTTTTTGTATAGCCCTCCCGATATTAGGTGTTTTGTTGATTTTTGCCACATTTTCCCACGAATATGTCTAAAATTTGGTTTTAGTGGGTCATAATTGGTTCTAATGTTTCCATTACCCTAAGGTGGAGGGCTTTAATTAAAAGTTCGGCCCGTCCGAACTTAATGTTTTTTACTTGTTTTTTTTTTCAAATATTCGGATGAATGAATTAATTATAGCCTCAGCTATATGGATAGAGATAGAATCGATCATTTAATACGGCCAAAATGTGCCTCATCGAAATAACGGTTTTAGACCATAGGTTTCTTTGAATCAAATCCGTTTCAGGACATTTGAAGTCGATCTAGCGATGTCCGTCCGTCCGTCTGTTTGGCTGGCTGGTACGCACGATAATTCTCGAAGGAAGTATCCAATTTGGTCCAAACTTGGTACATCGGAATATTTTTGTCAAACTTAAATCTAGTTTGGAGATGAACAATATCGGTCCACTCCTTCTGGTACCTCCCCCACAAAAGGTCGAAATTTTCAAAAATATATTTTCTGCTTAGAAAGAGAAACGATAGTCCGATTTTGCTCTAACTTTGCAAATGCTAATATTTGCCCCAGTTCTCGGTCAGGTGCAAAAAATGGATAATTTTTTTCAAATGCCTCCCCCACAAAGGGTAAAAACTTTGAATAATTACAACTCTTGTATAAAATGTGATGTAAGAGTCCGATTGTCTTCAAATTTCACACATCCCAATAATTTTATTAACCCAAGGTTTGTTATTAAGATGGAATACATAATCCACTCTTTCTGATACCTCCCCCACAAAAGGTCGAAATTTTCAAAAAAAAATATTTTACTGCATAGACTCTTTCTGTGTCTATGCAGTAAAATATTATTTTTTAATCCAATTTTGTTCCAACTTTGCAAATCCGAGCATTTCATCAGTGGTAGGTCAGGTGCGAATGATCAAAATTTTGAATAATTACAACTCTTATAAAATTAAAATTAATATATCGGTCCACTCCTCCTGGTACCTCCCCCACAAAAGGTCGAAATTTTTAATATCCATTAGGCTCAAAAAAAAAACGAAATTAATATCCGATTCCATTCAGACATGGCAAATCTGAATACTTTCACCATTAACACAGGATCTGTTATAAAAACGGTAGAGATCGGACCATTTATTCTGATACCTCCCCCCCCCCCCCCCCCCCCAAAGGGTCAAAGTTTTGAAGAATCAAAACGTTGAAATCTAAATAATTGAAATAACCATCCGGTTATCTTTATATTTCACACATGCCACTATTTCCACTAACAAAAGATCTGTTGTGAAGATGGTATATATCGGTCCACTCCGTCTGGTACCTCCCCCACAAAGGCTCAAAATGTTGAATATCCATGAAGTTCGTAAAACGCGAAATTAACATCCGATTCCATCCAAGATTTGGTGGATATTCCGAAGGTTTTGTGTCAAATTACATATAAATCAGATGTAATTTGATTTTCAGATACTTTGTGTATAGATATAGACCCCTATAAAGGAATATACAAATTCTTATTTATTTTGAGGATAGCCGATTTGACCATAAGTAAAGTGATGGATTTGAAGGTTTTTCTGAGAAATTTGAAAATTTGTGGGAGAGTTACTAGAATAAGTGGACCGATAAATCCCATCTCAATACAATATTGACAGAAAAATTTAAATGTACGAACTATGAACGAAGCCGGCGTCTCACTTTACCTTTGCTCAGAGTTACGAAAATTTAATATTTTGAATTAGACCGATGTAGTTATTGTCCGCATATTATTCGAGGATTGGAATTAGTCTAAATTAATCTAGTCTCTATCAAACTCATTGCATGTGTGATAGAATCATATATGAAATATGAATTCCTAAAAAACGGATGTTCCAAAAGGAACTGGTCGATATACACTGGTGGCCAAAACTAAAGCAACTGAAATTACAAGGAGAATAATGCTTTGTAACTTTTTTAGAAAATAAGAAAATTAAAATGTTTTTCTAGTTCTAAATTATGCACTTTATTCACTTTTTAAAAACTTAGAAAAAAAACAAAATTCATTTTTATATAAAAAATAATGTATGGTAAGTCAATTAAACCGATTTTGGCGTGAACAAAACTAAAGCAACTCTGTTGCACATTCATATGATCGCCGAAATTTCTGTTGTTTTTACTGTTATATTTATCGCTTTTGGCTTCCTTCAACAATTTCGCTTGTCATGGATCATTTTTGAGAAATTTTTTACAAAGACATTTTTTAAGTACTGCCCAAAAAAGTTTAAAAATGGCTATAAGCAAATACAGTACATGAATAAAACAGGAAATTATCAGTGACTATGAAAACAAGCTATCGCAAAAAATGATATCCGAGAAATATTTCATAAATATTTCTATGATTTCTCGTAACCTAAGTCGGTTTTATGATACTGGATCAGTAGAACCTGTCTATAACGGATGAAGGCCGTGAAAAACCTCAACCCGTACTGATCAACAAATTGTGAGAGAAATAAAAAAACAACAATTTAAGAGTTCAACTGAATTGGCGAGAGAGATATCATTGAATATAAGTTCGAGATCAGTGCGTAGAAGAGTAGTGGCAGCTGGTCTGCATGCCCGTAAGCCATTTATATCTGAAAAAATCGGAAAGCCGGGATGGCTTTCGGAAACGATAAAATTAATTAGAATCCAGCTCAATGGAAAAACGTTTTATTAAAGGCTCATACATGAAAAATTTTACTGTGAGGAGACCAAAAAAATGAAAGACTCAAGCCGCACTGTTGCAATGGTACAGTGAAGCATGAGGGAGGGTTAAAAATGGTGTGGCGCTGTTTTTCTTTCCATGGACTTGGGCCTATCCATGAAGTAAAGGAAGTTATAGATCGGTTTGTTTACAAATATGTGTTAAACATCAAGGGTTTTCCCTTCCGCTGAAGAAAATATTTTTGGCTTATTTGGATGTTTCAGCATGACAATGATCCCAAACATGCATCACAACTTGTCAAAGATTGGTTGCGGGAGTCAAAAATCGGTGTTTTGCCATGGCCGGCACAATCATCTGACCTAAACCCCATAGAAAACCTTTGGAGTATCGTAGACAGGAAGATCAAGCGAGATTCGGAAGAAATAAACACAAAATTTTCCAAAGAATTCAGGGTGCCTGGAAAGCATACCCACGGATCAAATTGAGCGTGTTACAGATTCAATGCCTCGTAGGGGTGCAGCTGCTATCACAAATAATGGATGCTATCGACTACTAGCCAAAATTTAATTATTTTAAAATATAAAAACCAAAAAGTTACTTTAGTTTTGACCAAGCAAAAATTGGGTCATTTTAGTTTTCCATTCATTATTTTTCATTCAATATTATTTTTGTATTCTTATTTTTAGTTTTATAAAAGTGAATTAAACACCTCATTTAGAACTGGAAAAATAGTTACGATTTGTTTATTTTTGTAAAAGTTACGGGGCATTTATTGTCTTTGCAATTTTAGTTGCTTTAGTTTTGGCCACCAGTGTAGGTCATAATTTCACATAACAAAGTTTTATAAAAATACAGATACAAATACTGTTTTTGTTTTCGAAAACAATATAAATCACCCATTTCTGCAGTTCATGACATAGGAAAGTGTGTTTTAATATTCAAAATGGAATTCCATTAAATATTTCATTGATTAATTTTAAAGATGAGTTATGTCTTCATCAAATAGTCATTTGGCCATTGTAG